CAGTGTGACATCCAGAATTGCTGTTGCTGCTACCTGTCTAGTCTCTAAGACCCTTTTCAACCCTGGTGACTTCAGACTCTGAACTTTTACAAAGTATCTTGTGAACTGGACAGATGATCTGTTTTGTACTCTGCAGATGCATTTAAAAGAGTAAATCTGGCAGAATGGTAACCTTGCTTCATTCTGACCGTTTTATAAAAGTTACCAAGGACCCTAAGGAATACTCTCTCCAGTGTAGTTTTAATACATAGGATTCCTAGTTAATTGTTACTCTGATATTTGCTGAAGATGTTTATATGCTATACAGCCATACACAGATTCTCCTCCAATTAATTTTAGTATATGCTTTTAACTTTTTCTACAAGAAATGAATTCCAGTATATTTTTATTTATGTTTGATAAAAAAATTATGCCAATACTGTTATGGTAGGTGATAGACTATATAAGTTTAGAAAAACTAGCAAACGTAAGCAGGTAGGCGTCAACGTTGTTATGATCATGCGGTCATAAACTTTGTTTAGAAATTTTGCATTTGTCTCCCCTGACCTCAGTTTGTTAAATGGGTTTATTTTTACAGATTCATACTCATCATCAGCTCTGCATATATCTGAAGAACAAAAACATCAACATCTTTTGTCCAGCCTCTTTTTCTTCTGCTGTTCCACCTTTCTAAACATACAATAAAGTCATGGGATAAAACAATTGATGTGTGGTACGGGCGTTTTCACCGTCAGCTGCCTTTCGAATGGAAGAACAGTGGTAATGGATTAACATCGTACTTTGCTGTACTAAAGTGACAAATGGGAATAATAGACTTGGTGTGGCCATTAGGTTCAGTCCTTGAAGATAAGAAACTTGCTCTCTGTTGGTTGTCTTATCTGTGGTGGCACTAGTTTACCGCGTTAACTGAGGTTACTCAGTGTCAATTTCTTCTCCAGAAATACAATGCTAGGTGTTTTGAAATAAAACTTATATAGCAATTTTTTTAAAGTTATCAATTGTATATAAAATCACGATAGCCTGCTAAATCATTGTGTGTGTCTGTAGTATTCTATTCCCAGAAACTATCTGACCATGATAATTCAGTTTATATTCACCACATGAAAGATAAGTAACAGAAGAACCCCTAAAACAGGTTAATTTGGATTGTAACAATTCAGTGTACATTCAGTGAAAGAAATTTCAACCCTTCATAGCCAGCGAAGAAATTTGCCTTGGAAGCTAAGTCAGTACCAGCTTTTACCTATTTGATTCAGTTGCTGTTTTCTCACTCTCTGTATCCATTTGAAATTGATTTATTTTAGATGTTGTATACTTACGTTAGGCTTTCTGGTAATAGTGGTTTTTTTCCTGTTGACAGAGCCACTGGATTATGACACAGGATGAGGAAGATTAAGGATAATCAATTGACTAATTTCATTTAGAATATTATCAAACATTTCAACTAGACATCAGAAAAAGGCTTTCTTTCATAAGACTATTTTAAATAGAAATTATTTCAATAATTAAAGTAATGTTGACCATCCCCCTCTTAGCTGAATAAAGAAAAATTTAGTTTAATTTATTGCAATTTAATTACAGTACTATCTTCACAACATTTTCATGTGTTTTAAATAAATATTTTTTAATTGGCTAAAGGACATTCAAGCAAAGAAATGCTTTTTTACTTACAATGTCTATCTCATTTGCTGCCTTTTCACTAAGGCTTCACTTTGTTAATAAAAATGTCCATTGTGTGATGTTTTTTCTTTTACAGTTCACTAAATCTTATTTTCTTGGAATTGCTTTTTGGTAACAGCTCCATTGCTACTCCCCATCTTATTGTTTTCCATCATGCATGCTTCGCTGTGATCCCTCAAGATGTAACACTTGGTACACACGGTTGAGGATATGGAAAAACACTTCCGAAAGCGGGAATTCAGTATATGTTTGTTTTATTCTGTTTGATGAGGAAAGTAGGTCCAGTTTGAAGCAGCACAGATGTGCTGGTAGATGCATAGTCAGGAACTTTTTTTCTTTCTTTTAGGTCTAGGGACAGGAGTGAATAGAAGGGGAGGAGAACTCTGTTATGTTGAATACACAGATTAGGAGATCACCTTACTGGATACACCCCTCTAACCAGTGCTTACAGGTTAATGCATGTTAATGAATATTTTTGCAGTTGTAAAGCATAACAATTACAACTACACATCTATTTCTAAAGAATAAAACAGGCCCATATTTATTTACTTCTGTCAACTATAGAGAGAAAGAAGTACCCTCAGCTGTATTTCCACAGATTTCTCTCAAGGAAAAGGCTAATATTAGTCACTACTGTTATCACATCCCTTTGTGTAAGTTTTAAAAAGAGGTGGAGGGAGAGCTTCGTTTCTTTGAGGAGATCAGTATTGTAACGTATATGAATAGATGATAACAATTAATATTACTGAAAGTCCCACGTGAGAGTCCTGACGTCCTCTCCATGCCGCACGGTAATTTGGCTTCTTTCATGGGTTTTTTTCTTCTTTTTAGCTGATCTCATCCTAAGCATGCTTTATTTTTCCTTGAAAGCTAGGTATTTATCAAGTGCAGACGTTATTGAAAGAAAGTAAAATTCAGTCTCCAGAGTAAACCCTGTGTCTTGTGTCGGTAGTTCAAAAGTTCGAAATGACTCAAATTTCAGCAAAAAGATACTAAATAGACAGAAGTTGAATTCGAACTAGCCACAGAATCATTTGTTTTTATGTCAGAATTTGCAAAGAGTGGAGTGGACAAAGCTCTGTATGGAAGATTGAACAACCGTAAATAGATGATATCCAAAATTAATTCGGCTAGGACTTCAGTTTTAAAAATCGGCGTACCTAGGCAGCGCACAGTAGGAAATAAGTGGTCCTTGCAGCTTCCCCGTTTGACCCACTGTGCTGTAGTTGCATGTGGAACAATCAGCCTTTCTAGTAGGTTACTGTATTGCCCTCTCATTGTATTCCCATTTTCCACAGTTTTTTTCCAGCAGACTTCTTTCTGCAAATTATTCAGCCTCCAAATGCAAATGAACGGTATAAAAATAAGTAGGGAACATGGCAGAGTGGTGCTTCCCAGCCTCACCATGTTGGAATTTGATGTGGGATAAGAGAGTATAGATTTAAAAGATAAAATCTTTAGTTAATAATTTTGTGTTTATTCTAGATGTATGTATCTGAGGAAAGAAATATGGTATTTTTGCTTTCCAATAAAGGGGATCAAAGTAATGGTTTTTATCTCAGTTCTCTAAGCTGGTATATGTTGTAGCTCTAGCAGTATGGAAATGTGCTTTAAAATACGCTTACCTTTTGAATGATCATGGCTATATGTTGTTTAAATATTTAAAACTTACCTTGTTTTCACTTGTGCACTGTGAATGAACTTTGTATTATTTTTTTAAAACCTTCACATTACATGTAGATATTATTGCAACTTATATTTTGCCTGTGCTTGATCAAAGGTCATTTGTGTAGATGAGTAATTAAAAAATATTTAAATCACATTATAATTCTATTATTGGAGAGCATCTTTTAAATTTTTTTCTGTTTTAATGAGGGAAAGAGAAACCTGTGTACCTAGGGTCATTATTTGACCCCACAGTATAACCAGATTCATGGTCTAACAAGCTCTTAATGTGGCTTTTCTCTGAATGCTTAAATTTCACATGCCTTGCATTTCACAGTTGTACTCCATGGTCAACGGGTCCTTTTTTCACATCGTGGTACTGGTCAAAACATTTGTTATTTTCCTTGGTAAGATATATAAAAAAGGTTTTATAATTTCACTTTGCTGCCAAGGCTGTCATTTTCAATAATGCTGCTAACATGTTCCTATGAGGCTGACTAAAAAGTTATAACTAAGCCTTAAAACTGGAAGAGACTTTAATTTCATCTACCATCTGATTATAAACTCCTGTTACTCACTTTGTTATTCCTCCAGAACTTTGCTCATAAATGATACCTACTAACTGTTTGTTGATCATTGGATATGTCAAGTTAGGCAGAGTATAGGTGTGCCGCCTTAATTCCTTCAGAAGATGCATGGGCAAGAACATTTTCAATCATGTCAGCATTGGTTTTCTGTATCAGTGCTAACAGACTCGTCCTAGTGGGAGGCCCCAGACTTTTATTTTAAACTAGGTTTTCACCCTTTGTGTAATTCAAGTTCAGAATCTTCATGTATCAAAAAGTTTGAAGAATTTAGTTACCAAAGATTTAATGAGCAATGTATGTTTCTTTAGCATGTCTGATTGAAGAATTAATATATTTATCAAATTGAGATAGCTACCATGTGCCTATAGATAATACAGAGGTATTTAATTACAAAGTACGTCTTAAAATAACCACATCCCCGATTCGTGATAACTAAAACAATCATATCCTGCACATACTGGACCCAGTTAATAAGTGTAGAAAACTTAAGGGTTCAAACAAGTACTACAAAAATTGTTGAAGGTTCAAAACCAGGGGACAGGAAGGCTTAAATGTGGGTGATCTATAGCTGGAAGAAGACAACTTCTAAAACTAAGGGTAGGAAAAACCTGTATCATAAGGCATTCGTTTAAATTTATATCCTAAAATGACAGAATTTGGCTTGAAAATTGAGAGTATGTATGTGATTCCTCTCCAAGACTTATCGTGAGTTACATACACATTCCGTAGAAGCAGTATTAACGTGTATTTGTGGTCAAGTTACTGACAAAGAAGTAAATACTACTTTTAAATGCTTTTAAATGAAAATCGTTTTCTTGATTTGTTTGTTTGTTTGTTTAAGACAGAGTCTGGCTCTGTCGCCCAGGCTGGAGTGCAGTGGTGTGATCTCGGCTCACTGCAAGCTCTGCCTCCTGGGTTCAGGCCATTCTCCTGCCTCAGCCTCGGGAGTAACTGGGACTACAGGCACCCACCACCATGCCTAGCTAATTTTTTGTATTTTTAGTAGAGGCAGCGTTTCCCCGTGTTAGCCAGGGTGGTCTCGATCTCCTGACCTCGTGATCCACCCGCCTCGGCCTCCCAAAGTGCTAGGATTACAGGCGTGATTGTTACTCTGTGATAAAAAAATTCTTGTTCCTGCTGTTAGTACTTTTAATTCATTAACCCAGGTGTCAACTGTTCCTATCCAAATATTTGGGAAATCGAAGATCTGTTTTTGAAAAAACTAGGCCAGAGGCACTCCTGAAGATCTAGTCACAGTGCAGTGATATTGCCAGCAGCCGCCCACAGAGATATGTCTTATGGCTGTATTAAGAATATAAGCTACACTCTTTAATGTTCAGAACAGAATATTCATTCTGCTGCTTTTGTAGTTACTAAATCACAGAGCAACAATATGGAAATTAGAATTTTATCCATTTGTCAGAAAATATGCTCATGGTTTATGTGACCTAATACTTTCCAAAAGCTCTTGAGACCTCTCATATTTGTAAGAGAATATGTAGGGAATAGGTTAACCCCATTTTTTTGCTTTGGTAAACTTCATCTGAGATTAGGCCAAATCATCTGAAAGCAATACTGCCTGGGCTGCTACTTGCCTTCCTCTTTGATACTACGTCCTTGGCTTTCACAGGCAAAACCATATGACACATCTGTTTGAAGAAAATACACAGTCTCTTTTGCAGAAGTCTCACCTAATTACATGTATTGATTATCACTGAAATTCATTAAGGATTACTAGATAGTACCAGCGGTTACCCCTCCAGACACATGGATGTGCTGCTGGCCTTGTGGCAATGAGAACTCAAGACCTTACCATTGTCTTTGCTTCAGCTGCCAGGAAATGCTGAAATTATTTCCCTCTCAACCGAAGGAATGAACCTAACCATTTTTCTGCTCCCTTAGTTTGTGTTCTATTTTTGTTACTAATCTCTCTTTCCATACATCTTAACAGAGAAACAGCCCTGCGTCACTAACAAAATACAATGCTTAGTTATTTCTCCTTTAAGAAATATATTTGTCTAGAGGGTTTAAGTCAGGAATTCCCACATTTGCCATAATGCTCCAGGTGGTAACACAGCCACTCCCCTTGCATGCCTAATGTATATAATTTTTTTCTATAATCAATTATAGTAAAAAAATCAGAGATCACCTCAAGACACAGTACACACCCAGTAACGACAACGTGCCCGGCTCCCCGCCTCCGTGAGCAGCACTTCACGGTAGCAGGAGGTGCCTGGTGTGTGTGGAGAGGAAGGATGCAGAGAGATGCGTAAGTTTGTAGCCATTCCAGAAATATCAACACATCCTAACTAAGGGTCTATCATAAAGGTCTGAGCAGGACTCGGGACATGACAAAGTGTTCTAAAACTGGCCAGCAGCATTTTGGGATCCATGAAGAAACTCCACTGAATTCTTTTTGAATGGTCAGTATCCTATCTTGCCAAGGATTGGTCCCATGAAACATTTTTGGTTTTCCTTTAAAATTTTGTAACTCAGAAGAGAACTTGAATCCAGAGCAGAGAAACCAGTATACCTTGCGTTTTGCACCCATTATCCCAGACAGTATTATTTCCATTTTATAGATGAGAAAATCAGCTCAGGTTTTGTACATGGTTATTCTAGCTGAAATTTGAAAACGAGTATGATTGCAAGCCTATGCACTTTCAAAATATGCTCCCTTTCAGAAATACTTCTAGGAAAGTAAACATTTATGATACTAGGAGCACAGTAGGGCACATGATATACCTAGAAAGTGCAAAATGACCTAACTCATAAAAATCGCCTACGATAGTCTTTCCTAATTACATGAGGCTGTTGCTGCATTGCAAGAATGGAACCATCTATCAGCAGAGATACGTGGCTGCCTCTGAGACCTCAATGGACAAGAAGAGAATGAGATTCAGTAGGTTCTCATTTCATGTTAACTCCAGGCCTTAAGTTTTAGGTGTAAAAAACAAGTGCTTTGCAATTCTCAACATGTTAATAATGTTAATTTTCTCATTTTAGCCTGTGCAGATTCTCTCAATCTTTTTTAGTTAGTCCAAGTATTAAAATAGGAATTACTCTTTCCTCAGTTTTTAAAAACTTGATTGAATATTTTATTTTTCCAAATTACTCTTTTTTTTTTTTTTTTTTTTTTTTTGAGACAGGGTTTCCCACTCTGTCCTCCATGCTGGAGTGAGTGCAGTGACACAATCATAGCTCACTGCAACCTCGACCTCCTGGGCTCAAGAGATCCTCCCACCTCAACCCCTCGAGTAGGTGGGACTACAGGCACACACCACCATGCCTAGCTCATCTTTTTTTAAATTTTTAGTAGAGATGAGATCTCAATATGTTGCCAAACTGATCTCGAAATTCTGAACTCAGGCAATCCTTCTACCTCGGCCTTCCAGAGTACTGGGATTACAAGCGTGAGCCACCTCGCCTGGCCCAAATTACTACTTTTGACTGTTTTTTTCCCCCCCTAATAAAATTATTTTGAAGGAAAAGCTATTAGCAGAAGCCTTGAAAATTTCTACTAAATTTATATTTCAGGAATCTCATGTACATTCTTTAATTTTCTTGCATTGAGATGTGTCTGGTTTCCCAAGACTGTTAGGACCAAAAGATATTTTCATGCCAAAATCTGTATGAGTTATCTTTACACGTATCAGGACATCTCTAATACGAATGCTTAATTGAACATGCCTGCCATTTGCTGCCTCTGCCATTTCATGGGCTTTTGGTACCATCATAAAGCCACTCCCACTTTCATACATTCAGATTTCTCTAAACATCTGAGGCATTCATGTTCTTACTAATTGTACTCTTTGCTCTGGTCATAGCTGAATCAAGATTCTGAGAGTGTAATTTTGTTCATGTCAAAAGCATTGTTTTCTTATCCTGTTGGTGGATTGAGGCATTTGGACCTGGATGCTGTCCCCATTGGACGCCCCCCCGTTGGTACGTTTCACCAGCTGTGTACTCTGTGATTGGCTGGCCTTTTGATGTGCAGATACTACAAGTTGGTCACCAACTTGTGTACAATGGGCCTGTTCTGGTTCATGTGAAAATCAACATCCTTTTTTGTGTTACCGGGTGACAGGATGCTACAATACTATTAGCATTTGCAAAGAGTGTGCTCTGTCCAAGGGTGCAACCACAGATCGTGTGCTGCTCAGTTTGTGTTTCTCTATTATGTGAGAGACACAAAGAAGCTGAAGGCTGGCAAAGGCCTGTCAAATCTTGTAATGTAGCGCTCGACCCCCAAACTCCACTTGGCCTCCAAGCATCTCTTGTTCCCTGTCCCACCCCTTTCTCTGAATGGGCTCTGAGGTAGGTAAATGAATTCAGGGGCCTGGTAGGCGGGGGATTCCTTTCTGACCTCATTCCTGTACCATTTGTTTGCAGGCTTGTAGGGGGAGAGGAGGACATTTTGGAATCCTTTGTGTCAAATCATTTTCTTGCAGGTTGGGGAGTTAATGGTAACTTTGTCTGAAGCCAGCCGAGCAGAAAGCCTCCACGGATGAGGCGTGCTGTGCTCAACCTCCTCAAAACCACAAGATGAGAATGTGGAAATGGAGAACTTTCTAGAGCAGATGAGTATGTGGCAGGGCTGCGTGTGCCACATCTAATGGGAAGCTTAAGCCTTCCTGTGTGTTTAGGCATACAGTAGTTCATTTTAAGAGTGTTTTCCTCTTTCTGAATCATGGCGTTTTTATTGATGCCTGTAGTTTGGATAATCTTTTGTGCAGCCAATATTTGTATATTCTGCACCATTTTGAAAGCCTTCTGCTACCTGGCTACCTATATATATTGTGTGATTTCAAGAAGTTTTGTCATGTTTTTATCCTCAGATTTACTTTGTTTACCTAAAAAATGAACTATTGTTTTAGAACAGTAATAACTCTTTGGGGAAAAAAAAAAAAAAGACCCAGAGAGAAGCAGTTTGCTCAATTAATGTTAGAACTAGAAACTATTTCCTGATTCCTAGGCAAGTACTATGTGTTTCATGAAGATTTAGATCCAGGGCCACAGGTTCAATACTTCCAAAGCCAGGCATTTTGTGAAAGAAGTTGGGGATCTAAATGTTTATGTGAAACCTCCCTATTTTTAAACGTTAGCAGCTAATTTTGAAAATCTTAAATACTTGTGTGAGTCCAAGAGAAACATCTGCAAATTCTGCCCACCCATGAGTCACTATTTGAAACCTCTGATTTCAACTGTAGCTTTCTGCTCATTTCTGGCCTCGGTGCATTTGGGTGATAATAGTACCGTCTGAAAATAACATGATTACTGGTCATTTTTAGAGACGCAGAGTTTTTTGTTGTTTCAGCTTTATTATGAGGCTGGACTGAAGGGAAATTCTCATTTATTAAATGCCTGCTGTATCCCAGGTATTTTAAACACATTATCTTGCTTATTCTTACAACTTCCTAAGGTAGACATTCTCGTTTACCAACAGGCTAACTCTGGCCCAGAGGCGTTGCCTGAAGTTCCACCGCTGGTTAGTTGACAAAGTCTTTCTGGGATCCCATGTAGGTCTGACTGCAGATCTTAGAAAAAGAGCAGGTACACAGTGGGCTGGAAGAGTACTAATAGCTTTCTTCCCTTACCTGTTCAGCCATCCTAAGGAGGCAGTTCCTTTTTATGTCATGACCTGGTTGGCAAAAAACCGTTACTGCACTCTGGGTACTCTGGATATAGTTAGCTAGAAATAAGGCAAGTGAAGGTTTAAAATGTCCAGGAATCCCAGCATCTAGGAATAAGTTGGCCTCTGCTGTGAACCCTGTACAGATGCTCCTTGACTTAGGATGGAGTTACATCCCAATAAACTCGTCATAATTTGAAAATACTGTAAGTCTAGAATGCATTTTAACACACCTCACCTACTGAACATCACACCTTAGCCTAGCCTACCTTAAACATGCTCAGAACACTTACATTAGCCTGCAGTTGGGCAAAGTCATCTACCACAGGGCCTATTTCATAGTAAAGTGTTGAATGTCTTGTAATGTGCTGAATACTGGACTGAAAGTGGAAAACCACGGTTTTCTGGGTGCTTGAAGTACCGTTTCTACCGAATGCATATGGCTTTCGTGCCATCATAAAGTTGAAAAGTTATCAATCAAACCATTGTAAGTCGGAGACTGTCTGTCTATCTGCAAACTGCCCTATCTTTCATTCACAGCCATCTGCCTTGAAAGAGGAGTCCTCCCCATTCCTTCTTCAGCCCCCTCAAAGCCAGTGTGTTCTTTTACCGTCTGGGCCCTTGCACCATATCCTCACCACAACCACTGCCACTTTGCCATCTGCCCCTCACCAAGGCCACCAGTGATCTCCATTTGGCCAATTGCCCTCAATACATTTATTATTTGGCTTGGCCCCTTAAGGTTATTTAATACTTTGTGATACCCTTTCATTCTCCCTCTCCTCCCTCTGGGACATTTAGAACTTTGTGACATACATTCTCTCTCTCTCTCGCTCTCTCTCTCTCTCGCTCTCTCTCTCTAACCTCTTATTTCTTTGGCTTCTGTGCCACTACTTTCTCCTGGTTTCCCTTCTAATGACAAAACGCCTGTTGGTTTTCAGTGCTGCTCACAGGCCTGCCTGAGTGTTGTCGTTCCCTGGGCACTTGGCATTTCTCGACCCTAATTCTCCCTGGCTGATCAGCTCTCCCTGCTGTATCTGCTCCCGCTCTCAACTCGAGCTCCATCCTGCTCCTCTCTCCATGCTTCACAAACCCATATCTCCAACTATACCTGCACGTCCCACAGACACTTCACACTTAACCTATCCGAAATGCAACCAATTCTTTCTCCAATAAACCTGTCTCTTCTCCAGATTCCACAATTTTTGTGACAGGCACTGTGATATACCTAGCTGCACAAGACAAAAACCTGCGACGCTCTCCCCAGTGCAACCAACAAATCCAATCACCACTTTCTCTTTTTTTTTTTTTTTTGAGACAGAGTCCCACTCGGTTGCCCAGGCTGGTGTGCAGTGGCACGATCTCAGCTCACTGCAGCCTCCGCCTCCCAGGTTCAAGTGATTCTCCTGCCTTAGTCTCCAGAGTAGCTGGGACTACAGGTGTGCACCACTATGCCTAGCTAATTTTTTATTCATTTTTATTTTTATTTATTTATTTATTTTTTTTGTATTTTTAGTAGAGACGGGGTTTCACCATGTTGTCCAGGCTGGTCTCGGACTCCTGATCTCAGGCGATCCGCCCGCCTCCGCCTCCCAAAGCGCTGGGATTACAAGCATAAGCCACTGCGCCCAGCCCAC